CTCTCTCTGGTGGGTGTATGTGCCCTATGGCAAATTCCTTAAAAAAGGGTTTTGTGCCTAGAAGAACAAAATCTGATTTTAAAATCATTTCAGCATATTTCTCCAATGTTTAAATGCTGTTATTTAATCAAGATCGATTATTAGACTTTGAAAATGAATTCATTTTGTAAACCACCAAACTTCAAAAAAGCATAACATTAAATTTCAAGACAAAATAAACTGCTCAGATCCTGACTTTTCAAATTTTCCAAACATAACCTCACCCTGGTCCCTTCGTACTTCTCTTTAAAATCTTAAAAAGGTTAAAATAAAAATGTAAAAATTCTATTTCTATTTTTTTTTTTTTCCTGTGAAATGCCAAATACTCAGACCAGGCCTTTGCCTAAAATGAGTGCATTGACTAATTGTCTTGGCACCATGTAATTGTCTTGGCTAGGCCCAAGCTGACATGGTAGCTCTCATTATAAAAAATGCCACCGCTTATAGGAGTCCTCTAGTGCCATAGGCAGACTTCTCGCCCCAGAGAGAGTGTCCTTGCAGGTCAGGGTTGAGGTCACTGGCAAACACACTGTGGAAAACACAAATGCCGTGTTGCTTTTGCCCTCGTGAATAAGCAGCTTGGTGTTTGTTTAATGATACAGGCTCATCCTGTTTTTCGGCTGCACCTTGGATAGTATTGATCTGTTTGGGAGAATGTCTGCTCTGAATCTGCACAGATCGGTCATCAGGACTCTTGTCATCCCAGGTTACTTTCTGGTCATATCAGAGGAAACGAGACCCAGGTCAATACCGGTTCTGTACGGGCCTTCCGTGGGCATTAGAAAGAGATCCATCTAATTTCCATGGTGTGAAATGGTACCACACCTGTTCAGTGACATCACAGGAAAACAGCTGTTACTCCTTTTACTGTCTTATCTCCTGTAAATGTTAAATATTGGGTTTGTAGATATCTAAATGTCAACGGGACATTTTAAAATAAAAATGCTGTCTTTCATTTTTGTTGTATGCCTCCGAGATTGACTTCTTTTTTTTTCCTTGCTGCGCTGCCAAAAAAATAAATGTAAATGATGAGAAACACAATAGGACCACTTTGTAACTGAGTTTCTGGGCAGCACACAAAAGAGTACTGTTCTCTGATTGTTTTCTTGTCAGCTTCAAAAGTTATCTTCCTTCTGAAGTTTATAAATTTAAAATATTAGCACTTAACAAGTGATTCAATCTAGTTCCCAAGATAGCTACTTGAACTCATACAAACTGTTGTTTGAGACCAGAACAGACCTGGTTAAATTTCAGGTCCTAAAAAAGAGAATATGAAGGGAGTGGGGTGAGGTTATGTTTGGAA